TTGGGAGCAAAAAGAGGGTTTCAGGCAGGTATAAGCCCTTAGCTGGGAAGGAAGGAGGATAACATTTCAAGTATAGACTTTTGTTATCATTTACTGTACCTGTTTAGTTTATTTTCATTATTATTGTAGTGTTAGTAAAAGTATAAGTTCACCTTTTTTAGAAAAAATTATAAATGTGCAGATTTTTGCAGAAAAAGTGTATTTATTATTTTTTCCTGCAGAAGCCTGGAAAACATTGCACCCATGATTAGTGCATCAGGGATACAATGTCAGGCCTCTGAATAAACTATTAGGGCACTTATCAGCACCCTCAGAGTTCATTCAGAACTACAAGCCATCTGCTGTGGTGGCTGAGGATACTTGTAGTTCATTAACTCACAGGAAACTGAATGAATGATGCAGCCATGTGGGTGGAGCCACACACCTGCTTTTCACTATTCAAAAACAGCATGGCCATGTGGAGTTCCACCCACTTGGCCACATATTTCATTCAGAAGATTCTCCTGCCCTCTGTCACACAGAGGTGGGGAACGGGGGAGAAAGGCAGCTGGAGCTGGAACATGTTACCACTAAGCATGGAACCTCTAAGCAACTTATTCACTCCCTTGTCATATCACGCCTCGACTATTGGAACTCCCTCCTCATTGGCCTACCTCATCGCAGGCTATCCCTTCTTCAGTCTATCATGAACGCTGCTGCCAGACTCATCCACCTCACTAACCGCTCTGTATCTGCCACCTCTCTCTGCCAATCCCTCCACTGGCTCCCAGTTGCCCAACGGATAAACTTCAAAACACTAACTATGACATAAAAAGCCATCCACAACACTGCCCCAATTTACATATCCAATCTAATCTCTAAATATCACCCAAACCGTACACTCCGCTCCTTGCAAGACCTCCTACTCTCTAGCTCCCTTATCAAGACTTCTCCAGGGCGTCACCCATCCTCTGGAACTCCCTGCCCCAATCTATCAGACTATCACCTACTCTACTTACCTTTAGGCGACCATTGAAAACCTATCTCTTCAGGGAAGCCTATCCTGCCCTCTGCTAATACTGGAATCCTCTACTCTTCCAACCACTCCATCCCCCACAGTTTTACCTATTGTACCACTCACCCCTCCCTCCTAGATTGTAAGTTCCAAGGAGCAGGGTCCTCAATTCCCTCTTGTATTGAACTGTATTGTTACTGTACTGTCTCCCACCATAATGTAAAGCGCTAAGCAAACCGTTGGTGCTATATAAATCCTGTATAATAATAATAATACTACTAATTCCTTTCCAAACACAGGTGGAACATGTAAACTGTTCCAAAAAGTGAATGTATTTAAAGTCATGCTCAAGTGGTTTTTACATTTTTACTTTACTGTATTTTTACTGTATTTGTGTTATAGTATTAAATATAAATATTTGTTGATTAGTCACTAAAATAGCTCAATGCAAATCATGTGCCTCTCTAAGGGTTCACATCTGATGAAGGGGTCCTGCGAGACTCCGAAATGTTATCTTGCTGTAACTATGTGATCGTTCATTAAAACATTTGGACCCATATTGGTGATCCTCGGTGTGCTGGTGACATTCTCCCTTGCTGATTCTGTTCGGTTCCAGCCGACGGTCACTGCAGCACCCACTTATACACACAGCCATTTTTAATGCAGGAACATGTGCGTTTGGATTGTACACTTGCTCTCTTAGGGTTCTTTCACACTGATTTGCTGAAAAATGACAGCAGAAATGCATATGCATGCATATGCCACTTTTTTACTGTGTTTTCAGTGCATTTTTTACATGACATGTGACTCAAAAACCACGGCAAAAACCAACGCGAGTGTGTTTTTGATGTGTTTTTGCCAAATTTCCATTGATTTAAATGTAGAGGTGTGTTTTTGGTGCAGTTTTTTTACTGCACCAAACCTGCACCAAAAATGCAGCAAGCAGGACTTTTAAAAACCCACCTCGGATCAGTGTGAGGAATTCCATAGGAATCCATGGTCACTCATGTTTCTCCACATTTTGAATGCAAAAATGGATTAAAAACTGATCTGTGTGAAAAGCAGCATTAACAACTGTTAAAATAAGTCATCAGCCTGGGCAAAAATGATGAGGACACAAGGTACAAGGTAGGCACTCCAATCCTTAATGTCCAATTCCCTACCATTCATTCCACTTTGAAACCTGGCCAAAAACGCACTTGTCAAAATTATTGTTGATATAATAAATTACAACTCTAATTTACATAAATGGTACTCTAGAGGTGCTTGTACATTATCTGATTTATACAGAAACAGCTCTTTAAAAAAGTGCAATGGAAAGGATGATAGCCTTGAAAAGTAATTCCTTGGCCCTTCTGCACTGCCAAATTTTGGGTCTGTCTAGATCTCAGCAGAAATTGGCATCCTACCTATTTATTTCAGCCAAACCTGCCATAGCTCAAGCTTAGAAAACCCCTTCGGTTGTCTTCCAAGGGGTGAAGATCCAGATGAATGATATGTTGATCAATGAACAGATGTCTAGCATTCCTCATGATTCTCATCCGAGATCCCTTAAGGTTTGGGAACCTTGGATACGATATTCCTTGCCATTCCTATCCCCTACTAGTTATGGCCTCTTGTAGTTGCTGCCTGTGCTAGCCCTGGATCCGTGATTCTCCTAGTCTCCCTTTCCTCTATGTTTTTTTTCTGATTTCTTTTTTTTTTTGTCATTTTTATTTTCTTTTTCCTTTCTTCTAACCTTTTTTCTTTCCTCTTCTCTTTATGGTATTATGTTGGACTACTGCTGATAATATTTGGTTCGGCTTTTTGCCGTCCTCCCTTGCTGTCATTGGACATTTTGTTATTTGGCTAATACAAGTCAGCAGGATGTATCTGTTTCTGTGTTATTGTTATGCTCGGCCCCTGCGTGGGCGTATATTGAGCTTGTTGTGTTCCTAAAAAACAAAACTTTCTTAATAAAAATATTGAAACAGAAAAGTAGTTCCTATCACAAATTCATCAAACTTTGGCATAGGTGTTTAGTTCATCCCAAATGCATGATTTGACTGCACTTTTTTTCTTATCGAATGCCAAAGCAACAAAAACTAGTTATTGTTTGTGTTTATATTTTCACAAATTATGACTTTATCCTATTTTCCTCTCTTACCTTTTGTCAATTCCTGTCTCACTCTTGACCCCTTTCCCTCCTTCCCCTTTGTTTGCTAAAAAAAAGCATACATCATTGGAAGTGTAAAGCTGAGTAAAAGAGTGCAACTGCATGTGCAGAGTGCACAGTCTATTTGCCTTTAGTAAATCAACCTGGGACTTGGTTTTGTTTCCTGGATTTGTTTCTTTTTATAGTTTATCAAATGCAATATAGTAACATGTTTATTATGGCCTCCAGTTGAAGGATAACACAAACTACTGAAGAAAAATCTACAAAAGATACAAATAACCATTAGTTGATTCTATAACCCAACAATATTTAATTATTTAACATTTCTAAATAAAAGCTTTATATTTTATTTAGCTAGAAACTAATTCTTTGAGCAGTTGAACAAACAGTGCCACAATGTGACCTTTGTCATGCTATGTCTAACAAAGAAGAAATTTTTATAGCTATATAATTAACAGTGTGAACAACTACTGAGAGAAAGAAGTTTAAAAAATTTGTTTTTTTATATGTTCTTGTAATTTATTTTATAACTATCAACTAGTATTTATGTTATCGTTGTTAAAATTTTAGACTAAAAATAATTGAATTATATGCTAATAAATGAAAAAGGTGGTCATGCTTGAAGAACTATGAATTAACATCTTGCAAACAATGAAGAATCACAAACCACTCTTTGGTCATAGATCATGCAGGTAAAAACATAAAATAATAGCTAGGATAAGCATCCTCCATTCTAAGCACAATAAAGCAATTAATGTTTTCTCTTTCAGGTTACAGTATAAGCACAAACATGGCATAGTATTACGGTGTGCATTTATTGCACTTTTTATGATTTTTTTTTTTTTGCTGACAGAGCAGCTAAAAATATTTGAGCTCCTTCTTTTTTATTTCCTATTTGGTTCATGCTGACATTCTATCTACAGAACACTATGTATTTTTAGAGTTTCATAACCTACATTATTCAAAGCAATAGAACGTTTGAAAAAAGATGCAAGTAATATGGTAATGCAGGACATCTACTACCGTGTTTTTTTTAGACATTTGGAAAAAGTAGCCACTGTGTTTGCACAGCTTTAACAAATCATAGTTCACATTTTTCTCCAGTCATAATGGAAATATTTTGAGAACTGCAGTGTTGGCAGTATAAGTTATACAATGGAAAATAAACGGGAAGCACTCAAAATATTAGTATTTCTTATAGCATTACTAACATCACAACAGTAAATCAGTCTGTATATGCAGCAAAGCATGCTTGTTATACTCACCGTTGAAGCTAAGGAGTTAATCCTCTGCATTGTGTAAAAAGGCTGTTTGATACTGTCTTCTCTGATCCTCCCCTTTTTCCACAGTCCCCAATCCATCTGCTGATAGTACAGAGCCCTAGCAGATATTTCCCACTTGCTCAGTTTGTCATGTATTGCTAGAGAGGTTTTGTTTTCATTGGGAGAGTGCATGTGATCAGCACTTTCCAAACAGAGGGTCAGGGGTCATGCAGCCTCATAGGACAGTCACAGGAGAATGAAAACTCCTACCAGCTGTAACCAGTTCTTGGACACTGATAGAGGTCACAAAGCTACTATATACTGCTGATGAGAAAAGGTATTAAGCAGTTTATATTTACTAAAGTAATGCATTTCCATGTTCTGTGTACGGAGTGAGACCAGATATAGTGAATGCAGGGTCATGGGTTTAGTAATGCTTTAGGGCTCATGTACACTGTAGCTGATAAACTCATGTTCATGAGCTGTTCAGCGTATTTTTCAGCAGCCCCTGAACTCTCCCTAATGTTTTCCTATGTGTTCATGTACACATCTTCGTTTACAGGCATTTGAGTTTACAGACTTTTTTTGAACGCAGAAAACTTGCGTTCAGCAGTCTATTTTATCAGCGTTTCAAATGCAAAATGCTTGTAAACGTGGCTAAACGCGGCAAATCACGTTTATAAGCGTTTGAAATTTTTTTTTTAACTCTTCAGTTCAGGATGCTGTCCAGAGCCTTTTTTCATCATGAAAAATGCATGCAAAGCGTTTTCAAGGTACTCAGATGGACAAAACACTGAACACAGGATGGACAAAACACTGACCAAGTTTGTCACACATTGTAATGACCAATTCACACCTCAGACCTTTCCCACTCTTGGAAACAAAAGATATGTTAATGACCATTCACACCTCAAATTTCTCATGAAGACTTTCTGTCAGGTGACCTTAATGACTCACTCCACCAGACACCTTTCCCACCCTTGGAAACAAAAGAAATGTTAATGAGAAACTCCCACCTAAGCTAATCTCAACACATACTGCTGTGTCTGCTTCTACTATCTGTATTTCTCTGAAACAGTCTGAAATATTAATAATTTAAAACTTTTCAGTGCATTCTGGGAATTTGGGAGGTTCTCCTGTGCTTATATTTAACCACTAGCCTAGAGGGCACTTATACCCCCTTCCTGCCCAGGCCAATTTCCAGCTTTCAGCACTGTCACACTTTGAATGACAATTGCACGGTCATGCAAGATTGTACCCATATGAAATTTTTATAATTTTTTTTAGACAGATAGAGCTTTTTTTTTTGGTGGTATTTAATCACCTCTGGGGTTTTTCTTTTTTCTTAAACAAACCAACAACCACTGAAAATTTAAAAAAAAAAAATTTTTTCTTAGTTTTTGTTATACAATTTTGTAAATAAGTGATTTTTCTCCTTCACTGATGTGCGCTAATGAGGCTGCAGTGATGGGCACTGATAGGCTGCACTGATTGGCATTGATAGGTGGCACTGACTGGCACTGATGGGTGACATTGAAAGGCAGCTCAGATGGGCACTGATATGTGGCATTGATGTGCACTGGTATGCACTGATATGTGGCATTGATGTGGCACTGATGGGCACTGGCACATGGCACTGATGGGCACTGGCACGTGGCACTGATGAGCACTGACAGGTGGCACTTCTGGGGCCACACTGATCATCAGCGCACACTGACCATCAGTGCCCTGATGATCAGTGTACATGTCCCCTCCATGGAAAGCCGATTACCGCCATTTCCGTGTTTGCATGTGATCAGCTGTGATTGGACACAGCTGATCACATGACTGAGCCGACATCTTTGGCTCTTTCTGTGATCCGCTGTGCCTGAGGGACACAGCGGACCGGCGATCGCCATGCTGCGCGCTCCCTGAGCCGCGCATGCGCAGTGAGAATGGTAGGACGTCATATGACGTCCTATCAGAACGAGAGAACCACCTTGCGCCTGTCATTGTACTATAGAATGTACTATAAAAATATGGGTCCCCCAAAAATATACATCAGAAACTTCAGATTTGGCATGGGTTTTAAGGCAGCACCCCCATAAAAAACAGAAAAAGTGTAGGTCCCCCTTGAATCCATATCAAACCCCCTTAAGATAAGGTGTCTTCCCTATGTTGAGATTTGTGGCCTGATATGGTTCAGGAGGGGGGCACACACTGTATGCTCAGATAAGGGTGTGGTGCGGGGTTTAGGGGAACCTCACACTTTTTTTTATTAAGGTCTTGCTTAATATGCATACCATATCTTAATAAGGAGAGGGTTTTGAAATGTAATTTTATTCTGAGCCCTCACGTGTTTCTTTTTGTGGGTGGGGGGGATTCCCCATTAACATTAACCCCCATCTAGGATATGGTTCTGCTGTAAAGGAAAGGAATTCCCAGCTACTTTCTTTACAAACAGAAAAAGCAGCTGGGAAAAGTAATTTACATTTTATTGTCAAATGTCATTTACAATCTAAATGATATTTGTTTCTTTGTAATTTACATTGTTGGATTGTTTACATCCTTCAGATGTGCCACTTCAGGTGTTGGTTTAAGGTAACCCTCAAGTATGTCAGTTAAAGGAATTTAGCATTTTGAATGTTGCCTTTTAAGCAATATTTTAAAAAACTGCTTCAGCTGAAAGGAAGTTCTCATCCCCCAGGACAATTCGCAACTACATTTGCCCTTTGTTTGATTTAGAGTGGTCCCCATGCTGTTTTTTACAACAAAAAATAATCCAATAGGGAAACAGCATTTAATGGCAAACAGTATTTTTAATTTCTTTGTCACTTTTGCTGTAGTTAAATAAAAAAAACACAAAGGTGTAAAAACACCTTTCTGTGAAGGTTTGGTAAGCACATTTATTTAACTAAAGTATAATAATGTCCAAAGTAATAAAATGTAAAAAATAAAAAATAAATATATAATACCTAAACATGACAGAAAAACATATTTGTACCTACATTCCTTTAGTTTTCTTCTGTAATAATAAATAATAAAATATTTCCATCTTTCCAATCATCCCAAGACCTCCTGCTTTCTAGCTCCATTGTCACCTCCTCCCATGCTCACTCTCAGGACGTCTAGCCAATCTCTCCCACTCTATGGAACTCCTTACCCCAATCTGTCCAACTATCTTCTACTCTGTCCACTTTTAGACAATCCCATATTCTCTTCAGAGAAGCCTATCCTGCCTCCACCTAACAACCGTACTTTTATTTCCTCCATCAGCTCCTCCCCCCACAGTTATAACCTTTTGTATCTCTTGACCATCCCCTTTAGATTGTAAACTCTAATGAGCAGGGCCCTCTGATTTGATTCTGAATTGTATTGTAACTGTACTGTGCATGCTGTAAAGCAAACTGTTGGTGCTATATAAATGTATAATAATAATTATAATTTGCACCCTTAGGCTCCATGTACACTGCAGCTGATAAACTCACATTTAGGAGCTTTTCTGCATATTTTTCAGCAGCCCCTGAACTCTCCCTAATGTTTTCCTAGGTGTCTATGTACACTATGTCATTTACAGTCGTTTACAGGCAGTTGAGTTTAGTCTTTTTTTAATGCACCAAACTTGCGTTCAGGAGTAGATTTTATCAGCGTTTCAAACGCCAAACACTTGTAGACGCGGCTAACCGTGTTTATAAGCATTTACGCTTTGAAAGGTTTTTTAACTCTTCCATTTCCAGATGCTGTCCAGAGCCTTTTTTCATCATGTAAAATGCATGCAAAGCGTTTTCCTGGTACTCAAATAGACCTAGTACACCACATACTTTGAGGTTTTGCATGAAAAAAAATATATTAGACACTGCTGCAATAATTTCTGCACAGAAATGAGCTGGAACACATCCAAGCACTACAGAAAAAAACAAAAAACAGACAGCTAATCTCAACAGATACTGCTCTCTCTGCTTCTGCTCTCTCTATTTCTCTCAAAATGTCTGAAAAAGTAAATTTTTTACTATTTTTCAGTGCATTCTGGGCATTTTTGAAGGTCTCCTGAGGTTATCTTTAAAAAACGCTTCTAAGCGCAAATGCTCATAAATGCACATAAACGCGGTATGCAAATGAGGCTATACAGACATTTTTTTAACCTACATTTTCCAGCAGTCAGTTTCCATCATTCACAAGTTTTTTCCAAACATCTCATGTACATGGAGCCTTAGTAATTTCAGAACGTCAGTTTGGGAAACATTAAGGCTGGGTTCACACATATGCACTGTGGTATATTGCATATGGTTTGCACAGGAACTGCACCGCATTCCTGTGAAAACCACATGCAAATTGTGTGCAGTGTGATTAGAGCCACATATTTTGTGTGGCTCCAATTGCACCGCATCCGCACCAAAAAGATGCAGGACTTTTTTTTTGGTCCTCACTAGAATCGGATCACATGGGTATTTATACCCATGCAATTTTATTCTGCACATCGCACTGCATTTTGCAGAATGATTTCGGGGTGTTGTTAACTTAATGTACACACCCACAGCGGTTTGCATGAATGGGGTGTGATTCTGATGCGGTGCAGAATTCACACAGAAAATGCTGCGAATTGCGCACCGCATCAGTGTGAACCAAGGCTTAAGCAGCGGAGAATTCAGTGGTCTAGCAACAAAGCTTTTAGCTCTGCAGCCCAACTTTAACCTTGACTAATTGCAGCTTGCATATTTCCCTCTCACTCTTTCAACAGGATCATCACTGTTATCAGTTAAAAAATGTGATTTAGTTTAAGGACCCTTTCACACTTACAAGTGCAGATGGAGCTGTACTTTTAGACAATTTGTTGCAGAATTATAGAGTTGCCTAAGTGATATCCTCCTAACTTCCCAGCTAAGGCCTTATACCTGTCTGAACCCCTTTTGTTTGGTCCCAAAGTGTTCTGCAAATCTGTGAATAAATTCCATTCTTTCCAAAAGAAAGGACATGTATCATTAGGTTAAATGCCCATTGGAATGAATGAAATTGTAGAAAGGTAAGGATAAGACATGAAGATAGTGGTAGCCATTTAAATAATTATTGTACAAAAGTACAGTGGTCCTTTAAACAAAGTAAAATACAAAATATTTTAACTTTACGGCCAAATCATGATATACTAAGTCCAAGCCACACGTTTAGGTACATTACTCTGACTTTGAAAGACAGTATCAGGACTCCAAGCCCACTGTCGTTTACTAAATCTGAAAGATTTTCAAGTAAACATTCCCTTAATTGGACAGTCTCTACTACTTTAGTGAATTAAAAGCCGTAGGATGAAGATAGTAAAATCTGGGCTATTCAAAGGGCACTTTGCTCTGAGTTTCTACCTATATATAATGTAATTAAATTGTTGATTTGGGACTGGGTGATTGACAGCTGAGGCCCCGAATGGCAGCGAGGGTAGGGCCCCCTAGCAGAAACTGCAAAATCATGTATATATACGTGATTCTGCGATCCCATGCCGCCCCGTAGCAATATTTCTGCTATAGGGCAGTGCGGAAATAGCTAAACATTCTTTCCACCGACTTCTGTAATGCTTACGGTCAGTATAAAATCATATGCTGCTGTGATTGTACTGTGAAGTTTCATTGCAGCACTGTATGATTATTGCAACATGTGGTCATCTGTAACTTCTTTCTCAGAAAATAGGTGCAGGAACCAAACCACGACCCCCCAAAATCCACCCCCTCCAAACTGCAGAAAATAGTGGGTGTGGTCAAATTTCCCTAACAGTGGGAGGGTCATAAATAGGGCATTAAATACCAAAAGAGCATTGCGTAAACAGTGTAGAGTTTTTGGGGGGTTACACATAGAATGCAGTTCAGAAATACACACTAAACATAGTTTGACGTTCTTCCACAGCTGCTTACCTCTGCATCACCCATCAACATCTCACTTTAACCCCTTTTCAGGTCTGACCT